GTAGTGGTAGTGGTAGTGGTAGTGGTAGTGGTAGTGGTAGTGGTAGTAGTAGTAGTAGTAGTAGTAGTAGTAGTAGTAGTAAGAAGTAAGAAGTAGTAGTAGTAGTGGTGGTAGTAGTAGTAGTAGTAGCAGTGGTAGTAAGAAGTAGAAGTAGAAGTGGTAGTAGTAGTCGTCGTCGTCGTCGTACTACTATAGTACCGTCGCCTCGAGCCCCTTACTGTCGCAAAAAACCCCGCTTACCGTTGCAGAAAACCCCCACAAACGCTTGCCACCTCTCTATCCCTCGCAAAAAACCCTCGCCCCACCGTCGCAAAAAACCCCCCTGCGGACAGTACTGTCACAGAAAAACCCTTTCTGCGGTCACCGTCGCAAAAAACCCCTCTCACACCTCACCGTTGCAAAAAAGCCCCAAAACTGTCGCAAAAAACCCGCAGCCCAGATTCACCCTCAAAGCCTAAAGCATCTTAACATATTACCATGGAGTGTTGGGGTCTTAACCGACCTCTTCACTACCACCCGGCAGAGCACTGGATTTGGCAACCGGATCTCCGCTCGGACCTCCGCCGTGGTCCACCTCGCCGGTCGGGTGCATCCCGCCGGGTCCGGGGACGATGGATCGACGTGCAGCCGCCCCTCAAGTCGCTCAAGTGGTTCGTCAAGACGGTTGGAACAGACCTGGACATCGGTTCCGAAAGAAGAGCCCATAGGTTAAGGGGTGTCCATGAACTTTATAGGGTCATGTGCCATGTTCGAAGCTACGAACTGAAGGGTCCAGGTGGTTGATTAGCAAAACAGTGTTTGGAAAGTTGGATCTTTATCCAAAGCTTTCTTCCCTGTAACCGAAGATGACCTCCCCCCAACTCTTGTAACTTTTGGAACTTCTACAATCCCCAGGGAACATATATATATATATATGATATTGTATGATATATTATGTTATTGCTTGTTTTCTTGTGAGATGAACTACATCAGACAGAAGTTATTCCCTTATTCTGTGCCCTCAACTGCTGCGGGTTTGTTTGTATGTTGTCTCTGAACCTCTAGACTCTGGGTCAAAATTTGATATAATAGTCTCTTGATCTCCACTACCTGGGTGCCCAGTTCAAATCGACAAGACAATGAAGCATCCTATGAGTCAGCTCTTGACCCCGAAACCTTGGATGTACACCATCCAGATCTGGATGACCTGACCCATCCTGATCCCCCACGAGACTCACAATCTTCATCTTTTTTCCGCCCCCGGCAGTTTTCCTGGCAAGTGCCAAAGACCGTGGGCCAAGCCTTCCGCATTTGCCCTTGTGGTTCTCCCCCTTCTTCACCCATTCTTCATCCTTTTTGGGAGGTCTCAAATCCGAAATCCTTGGAAATCCACAGCTCAGGACGAACGTCCCAGGCCACCACAGCGTGAGCCACGTCGCTTCACCGAAACCACGGCCCTTCACCGATCGCCCGTGTTCGCCGTTCAGATCCGCGGCGGCAGCAAAAAGGTGTGGGACGATCGGACGATGTGTTACTCGGACGATGTCCATTGGGACGTTGTGGTCGAATCGGACAATGAATCGGAACATATACATCAACCTTATAAAATAGGTGATCCGAGTCAAGGAATGTTCATGTGAACGTTTTTCCGAAACGGTGGTGCCTAATTTTTAAGCCTTAGACTTCTAGGGTATCAGTATAAGGCACATCCATGTTCAGTGTATACGCTAGCAGATCGCTCAAGCGGCAGAGAAGTCTGGGTGTTTTCGCGTCACGTCCAGCATGTCCAGCATGTCCATGCTGGACTGCAATAGTTCCTGCTTCGGGGCCAGAGAAGGTCTGAAAGAAACCATCTATCGTCACCCATAACTTCTGGCCGACCGGTGATGCAGCAGGTGGTGCCGCAGGTTCCGCATGCGTAGACTCCTCTTGCGGCACTTGTGGACCACCGGCTCGCACCATCCAAACAGCTATATATTTGAAACAATGATTGTAGGTTTCCCTGGTTTTGCTTAGGGGTGACCGGGTGATGTGTCATTTTCACTATGCATATGAATCTTCTTCAACCATGCGCTCCCTGCAACAACCATGGAAGTTGACAATGGCGGAAAGACGTTCTGACGTCCTTGACGAACAGAAAGTGGTCCACGTAACCATGTTAGTTCCAGGGAGTGAATTTCTGTTTGCTTGTTTTTTGTTCACTGACTGGTGCGACTTGTAGGGAATGAGGGTGGCTGAGCCCCCTGTCTAGAGATTCCCCAATGGATCCAGCCACCCTCATTCCCTACGAGTCGCACCAGTCAGTTCAGTTCTATTTTTTTAAAACTGCTTTCCTGTTCCCAGCAGATTCTCAGTGGACCACAGAGCCACCGGAGTCCTGCACCATCCAGGGTGTCTGGGTGTCCTGGTTTGTGGAGATCATTGAAGTAGATGTGTATAGGGTAGTCCAGCCAGAAAACACATTGAAATTGAATGCTCCTGGCAATGTAGACTCTTGATTCACTAGCACCCCTGCATAGATGGATTGCTGGTCGCCTCTTCATATATTTGATTTGTAATAATGTGCATGTATAAATTGAAATAAATTGTATAATATGTGTGTCCTTTGAGTATGCATCTAAAAAGGGGTCGTCCGACTATATGATTGTCGGTCAGGTCCACAACGCACTGAACACAGGCGTACTCGTGGCCTTCATCCCGTGCGCACGTACTCAGCGTACTCGAGTCGTGCGTACTCGAGTCCATGGCCTTTCCTATCCTAGACACGACCAGCACTGGCAATTTTCAGTACATTGGGTGGTTTCAGGAGTCATTGTATCTTGTATATATCAGTACATGATATAGTATATATATATATATGCATGTATTGATATTTGTGGAGTGTTTAGGTATACTTCAATTCATACCCTCACAAGAGAAAGAACAGTACCATGCGTTCGTCGATGGTGTCGTTTCGTCCCGTGTCACGGGGCTTCGTCGGTCCCACGAGCCGGGGCGACCAGTCACCTCTCCGGTCGGGTCGAGCAGGGACAGTCGGGTGAGACAGACGTCCGAACGAGAAAGCACGGACCTCCCGGTGAAATGAACACGTTTTCCCTTTCGGTGATTGAGAAAACCCAAAATGTGTGGCCGTGGCCACACTGTTTTGGGGGATGGTCGACAGCCTGTTGGCAAGAGAACGAACGCTGGGTCTCTCGCCTCTCGCTCTCCTAAGGCGCTGGCACCTCCATTGCTCCTGAGGAAAAGCACGTCGGGCGATCCTGGGCGGACGGTGACCATCAGGACCCGCGATGAAAACGTGTTCAGCCGGTAGCACAGTGGAAGAGTGTGACAGTCAGTTGCAGTTGAAAATCAAAACCCCAAAACAGGTACGTTTTAAACCGTCCATGGTGTTGTCCAGGACACACCACAAACTCCGGGCCCCCTGCTGCTGTATCAGCGATGGAGTTTGACAATGCAGCGTTAAGTGTGGCCGTGTCGAAGTGATAATGCAGCGTTAAGTGTGGCCGTGTCGAAGTGATTTTGAACGGTTTGCATCTCGAGTGAAGAACCGTGATGAATGACTTTCCCGGCTGCAATACCCTGAAAAAGACAGGGGTTGACACACACACACAGACCTGTATCAGTTTGGAAGTTCCGGAATTACTGCAACCTTGACTGAATTACGGCGAAACAACGCATGAGACAGCTTGAGCCGTACTTAGAGTTCTAGGTACTTAAAACAATGCAGGTATGTTTGCACCCAGGTGGGGGGTGTCTTCGTTGGCCGGAGACCCCCCGCCTGGCTCCGGCCCCCTGCACTGCTGTACAAACTATTAAAGTAGTTGGACAGTGATGGTTTGGTGTGACAGGGCTCCTTAGGAAAAGGAGGTCACACACACACACACACTTATGGATATGCGTATGGACTGACAGCGGTGCCACACGCCGGCCTAGGGTACCATTTCCTAAGGGTACAAGTAGGAACCATCGGATCCTGGGGTCCTTCAAAAGGAGATATGGCCAAAAGCTCAAGGCGAGGTCGGTCCGACAGATTGACGGCGTTCCGTGCGTGACTGCAGCTGCATTAGCCCTTTACCAGAGGATTAAAATTCGCAGGTACGTCCAGCTGGCCAAGCTGGATATCCCATTTCACTGGTAGCTTCGTTGGACACAGTCCCAGTGAAATGCTGTGTCCCCCTGCTTAAAACAAAACGAAAAAAATCAAAAGAAACCCTGTGACTACAAGGGGCACACACACACACGCCTCCCAGAGGGGAGGCGTAAAGCTAAGGTGAGGGCAAATGTGTACGTGTGCGCGCACAAGAGACAAAAGAATGAAGACATGACAGGAGGACGAGACGGGACAAAGGTGCGTGTGGTTGAAATGAAAGGGGAACCAAGTGCACAGGGACACCCGATGAAGCCCACCTCATTGTAAAGACCTGGGCGACCTGAAACCTGTGTTAAAATGTATGTAGAAGTGCACGTACACACTAAGGCCGGGACCAATGTGCGCGGCAAACGAAGAAAAGGATGAGATGACCAGACATGAAGACAGGAGGACATGAAAGAAAAAAGGAAACAAAGGTGTGTGAAGGGGAAGGGATGAAAGGGTAAATGGGGCCGAGAACCAATGAAACCAAACCTCCTTAGAAGCACCTAGGGACCTGCCTCGTTTGAATGTAAGCGCTGTGTGTGCACCTGAGAGTGGGGCAGGTTCCAACGAACCGCAAAAGTACTTTGGTCGCTCTGACCACGTTGAGGCGTTAAGCCAGCTTAGACCGCTGCGGTCACGTAAAGGCATGAGCCAACTTGGAATTCCAAAGATGAGACAAAAATCTGAGTTCTCTCGGCCTATTCCGCTCCGGACACCTACGTTCCCAAAGTTGGGGAACATGGACAGACACCCGTTCGACGGGTCCACGGGAGGCACTCTACGGGCTCATCCCGGACTGGCACAGGGCCAGGCACACTTATGGATATGCGTACGGACCGACAGCGGTGCCACACGCCGGCCTGGGGTACCATTTCCTAAGGGTACAAGTGGGAACCATCGGATCCTAGGGTTTTTCAAAAGGAGATGTGGCCAAAAGCTCAAGGCGAGGTCGGTCCGACAGATTGACGGCGTTCCGTGCGTGACTGCAGCTGCATTAGCCCTTTACCAGAGGATTAAAATTCGCAGGTACGTCCAGCTGGCCAAGCTGGATATCCCATTTCACTGGTAGCTTCGTTGGACACAGTCCCAGTGAAATGCTGTGTCCCCCTGCTTAAAACAAAACGAAAAAAATCAAAAGAAACCCTGTGACTACAAGGGGCACACACACACTCTGACATTGGTTTTCAGTTAATCTATTCCCAAGTGGAAAGAGGTGAGGGAACGGAAAGGTGGAAGAGTCCGCAGAACAGTTTTGTTTAACAGAAGGTTACGCGTGACTGCAGAACACTAGTTACTGAATACTTAACAGACCTAGGAAAGGAAAGAGTGAACCGAAGGGCGAAGAGTCCGAGTACCTGAAGGTGTTTTAACAAAGGTTGACGCGTGACTGCAGAAAACTTGTTACTCAATGCTTAGCAGACCTAGGAAAGGAAAGAGTGAACCGAAAGGCGAAGAGTCCGAGTACTTGAAGGTGTTTTAACAAAGGTTGACGCGTGACTGCAGAAAACTAGTTGCTGATTACTTAGCAGACTGAATTCACGCCGCGCAAGGAAACCTGGTTTGGGGAATATCATGCGAAGAACCACCATGGAAACAAACCAACAGCGGCAAGGGAAACCAGTGGAGTCATTGCGTTTGATGCAGGTACACAGTGGAGCGTCCTCCACTGCTTCAGCACCGACCGATACCCTCTTCGTTGGACGGGCAGTATCGGTGGTGACCCGTCCCCCTGCTATGACGAGTTGAAACTCTTAGTTACAGAGGTGGACACGCACAGAGTGCCGATATCGGCGCTCTGGAGGAACTTACTAAACACCTAAAAAAGCCTTAGAAAGAAAGACAAGGAAACACAAAATGAGCAAACGAAGAGGGCAAGAGAGAAAAAAAGGAGTAGATACGAGGCCCACTAGTTATGAAACTTCTAGTTGCTGAATACTTATCCAAAATAGCGAGCGGGACATTCGTCTTAAACCGCCCGGGTAGCTAGGAGTAGAAAAGGAGAAACAGAAGGAAAGGTACCGACACACAAGTGTGTCGAGTACCATTTCCTTCTGTAAGCCTAGATAGCGGGTGGGATAGAAACATGAATTCGGTTGCAAGGTGGGGGGGGGTGCGTGGAGGTGCATGTGTGACACATATACATATTGGCCGTAAGCCCGGCGGCGTGGAAGGTGAGTCGCATGTGTGACACATATACATGGCCGTAAGCTCGGCGGCGATGTCGAAGGAACTGGGCAAAATGCGACATCAATCACATGAATGCACCGGTGCCAATGCTGTCATGGGCCCGACGGAATAGGGTTTTGGGAATCCAGGAGTGAAACAGAGTCCGTTAAGAGAATCCAACGTGTGCAGAACGAAGAAAATCAGTGAATGGTAATCCGGAATGAGGACAGCGCTTCCTTGCGGGAGATCACACCCAGCACCCAAGTGGGACGACTGAGCGGTTCACACTCTGACATTGGTTTTCAATTAATCTATTCCCAAGTGGAAAAAGGTGAGGGAACGGAAAGGTGGAAGAGTCCGCAGAACAGTATTGTTTAACAGAAGGTTACGCGTGACTGCAGAACACTAGTTACTGAATACTTAGCAGACCTAGGAAAGGAAAGAGTGAACCGAAAGGCGAAGAGTCCGAGTACTTGAAGGTGTTTTAACAAAGGTTGACGCGTGACTGCAGAAAACTTGTTACTCAATGCTTAGCAGACCTAGGAAAGGAAAGAGTGAACCGAAAGGCGAAGAGTCCGAGTACTTGAAGGTGTTTTAACAAAGGTTGACGCGTGACTGCAGAAAACTAGTTACTGATTACTTAGCGGACTGAATTCACGCCGTGCATGGAAACCTGTTTTGGGGGATATCGTGCGAAGAACCACCATGGAAACAAACCAACAGCGGCAAGGGAAACCACTGGAGTCATTGCGGTTGATGCAGGTACACAGTGGAGCGTCCTGCTTCAGCACCAACCGATACCCTCTTCGTTGGACGGGCAGTATCGGTGGTGACCCGTCCCCTGCTATGACAAGTTGAAACTCTTAGTTACAGAGGTGGACACACACACGCCCACATGCACACGCACACGCACATGCAGCACACATGTCGTTCGAGAACGCTATGTTTTTTGATAAACATGAATGCTAGTGACCTTTTTTTGTTTTCATAGGAAAATATCACGTTTGGTATCCCAAACAGGGGATCATGTTCTGGGCCTCTCTTTTTTGTTCGAGCTGGCCTGCTTGGTTTGGAAGGCCTCAAGAAGGTTCAGTTGGAAACCTTGATGGATCCTTCCAAAAGGGGTCAGCTTAGCTGCCAGTGCTGGACGTCATTTATTTTGCCATCTTCAGGCGGACGTATTCCGACGTCATGATACCTGGATGTATCACGATGTATTTACTGAGGCTTTCTGTGTGTACCAAAAGAGGTTGAGAGACCGGACCCTGTAGTGATACATATCTCTTGGTAGTTTTGTGCAATGATCTAACTTGCTTCTTCAGATCGGGGCAAACGACAAAGATCGATCCGGGAGGAGAAGAAGAACGGTCTCCCCACAGTCATGTTCAGATGGTGTGAGCAGGGTTGATGTTCAAAGCATTGCAAGTAAGTTCCTAATTTGTGTATATAGAATCCCTTGGACACAAGTACTCACCAACTTGCCCTAGAAGACTTGTGATAACATTCCCAGTACTGTAGCTACAGATGACTTTGGCTGAGCACCAAATTTCCCAAAATGATAGGTTGACATGTTGGGGGTCCTCCATTTGCTTCACACCTCCGGTCGGTGTGTGTGTGTCTGTGTGTCTGCGCGCGCGTTGCTCTCCTTTTCGCCGGAAGATAGCTCTCCTCGACCGAGACCAACAGACACACCTGATCTCACGAATGGACGACACATGCACGGCACGTGCGACGAATCCGGAGATGGACGAAGGGGCAGGATCTACTCTGACTCATGAATATGGACGTGGGACGTGGATGGCCAAGCAAGACTAAGAAAGACAATAATTTTGTCTACAAACAGGGGCTTTGCCATGGCGTTTACATTTGCACGTGATGCGTTCGTCGGAGTCTTTCTTCGCCCGTTCGATTTGGAAAGTCTGGTCGTTCGGACGAGTCCCGGATGTGGTGAATAGTTTAGTGGCCATTCTCTGGAATCATTTGGAACCCTTCTACCCAGACACTCATGAACCCTCCTCCTACTAAGTATAGGGGCAGGACCCTCAACTCCCAAAAGTTTTTAGAGGGACCAAGGGCTGTTTGCCGGCGTTTGTGTACGAGATTTCCGCGAAGCTCCCATGCCCTGCCCGGCCATTCGCCACCTGAGTTGGTGAAAGAACGACTGCTGCAATTGGTGAAGGCGCTGTCACGACAAGGAGGAGGGGATGGGAGGAGTGGAAAGATCGAACACCACACATCTAAATCAACGTCGTCTACTAGTGATCGAACCGTACCAAGTATAGATAGAGTGAGTACAAAGATGTGTGGAGCGGTTTCAATACCTGCTATTACTGTACTCAACGGGCTCAAGACGCATTCAAGACGCGGCACTGGCACTGCACTAAGAACTGCCACAGGTTTCCAGCGCCACTAGGGTGTCTTTGCGCCATAGAAGTTCTTCTTGCATATCAATTTCTGGGTAGAGGTTCTTTCGCCACTGCTTAGCTACACTAGCTGCTTGCAGGGGTCTCCAATATCGATGCACATCCTACCAGAACCTTCAATTGCCCAGGACATCGCCAAAAACCTTAGCCTCGTTTTGCGATGGATATCTCTTATGTAGGGGGCCCTTGTAGAGTCAGTCATGTTAATGTTTGTTTTCCATTCGTTCGGCCACTCCTTCTTAATTCGGCATCCCGACATCTGAGGCATTAGGCGTAAGAGACATCCGTAGACCCTCTCCATTCATAGAACCTGGTTGCATCCAAGCTCAGCTCCAATGACAATTGCAATTCATCAAGAACATTGGTCCAACTACGCCTTCAATCCTCAAATGCTCTCAATACAGGTGGCCCCCCTGCAGGGGGAGGGGGTCCGATGTCCATGAGTGTTCATACAAAGTAAGATAAAATAAACACATGTGAACAACTTGGGTTTTTCAGACAGAACCTTTGAATTTTCCAGTGGAGTGTAGCATGATTGGGCTGAAAGTGTCCCACGAGGATTTCAAATCGAAAGTGCAGCAGTGGGTGAAGCATGAAAGTGTGGCAGGGAAGACGGTAGAGACAAGTTGCCGGCGCGATCGCGCCCCAACTTTCGGATCGCTGAGATTGCGCTTGTACTGCGCATCTTGTGCCAAGTGCCGATCTGGTCGAGGCTGGCGTGGGTATGCGGTGTGCAGAGGAAGCACAATGACGATTGTTGGAACAGATGCTGCCTCGCATGGCGACTTCGGATACCGTTACAGCAGCCGTGGAGGATTGACAGACGCGCAGACGCTTACACGCACCTGCGAGAACATGACAACTCGTACAAGATACAGAACTTGATGCAGTAGGTAAGGATGAACCTTTTGAGGCCTCCCCTCTAAGGACGAAACCCGCTGGACAGTTGCTCATTTTTGGCTTATGATATGGCTGCAACTTGAATCTGCCAGAGAAGTTTTCTGTGAAGTTGGCTCCTCCTGAGTCCATTCTGATCAAAGATTCAGTCTCATCAATCGAAACAGCTGTGGGTACTATTTCAAGGCCCTCATGGCGAACGTTGCTTCGCAATTTTGGAAGGTGGACAAAAGATGACAAAAGTAACCTTTGGGTTATTGATCAGGTGAATCAGCAGTGTGAATTTCTGGAGCGAGTGAAGGCTCCTTTCAGATTTGCCGGTCCATTTTCGATGTTAGTTTCTCAGGAAAAATATTTTTGGCTCGCGCAAGTTGCCCGGTTACTACATGGCAAGTTGGCAACCCGAATCCTTTAGTGGCTTCATTTCCAGCTGACTTATTTTACTCGGAGTCAAATTCTTGAGGATGAGATTGTCGCCACAGCTGACATTACCGCGAGAGCCCTTTGACACGTCACCAGTTCGATGGCTGCTGCCAGCCCAGCACCAACTACAAACATCTTGACGAACACGCGAGGTGCTGGTTGGGACAACCTTGTTGCCAACCACCAGGTGTTCAAATGCACCATTTTATCACTGCGCTTCTCATCTTCGAGGCGCAGGATGACTTTTTACGATTGCGTGTGTGCTTTCATCCTCGGCGGTGGGTGACGAGAGTATTCAGATTGGCTCTTGGGCTCGTATGGACGTATTCTCAGAGTGTATGAACAAAGCTGCCACGATCATGGGCCTTTGCCTGAATGTTAAGGAGAAGTTTCGGATACTGTTACTATAGTAATGTCCTGAAAGTATGCGGTCCAGTCCAGCTAGAAAGTTGCCATGGAACTGTTCCGGTCCTTCTCGATGTGTGATCGTGCCATTGACATGTTTTGATTCGCAACCTCCTGGCTTTGATTTTTCAATGATTGAGGAGCTTTGGGAGTTGACAAAGATAGCTGGAGAGAAGGTGAGTCTCAGTGACAAGCCTGGCTGGCTTTATCACGGTGAAATAAAAGGAGTTGTTGTTGTTGGACCCAGTTGCCTATAGATGCCTTTATTTCTCCTGTCTAATTGCATTGGATAGTTGGCATTCTGGGTTTCAAAGGCTCGCATTTTTCCAATGTTTTATGTTGGAAATGCATCTAGAGGTAGGTTTGCCTGCGATTGGCACACAGTCTCCCAAATGACGTGTGGTATCTCCGGATGTTTTGCTCTGAGCAACAAGCATTCGGGCTCCTGTCTTGCCCCCTAAATAGGGAGTCCTTCAGGAAAGCTGTCCTTTGCGAAACTTCTCCAGAAAGGCACAGGCGTATGTGGCAACATTCCCCGGCACCATTCCGGATACATTGAAAAAAACATCCGGATATATTTGCACCACAAATGCTTTTGACAGCCGGCCAAAGTAAAACATCATTTGTTCATTGTTAGTTGGCAAGACAGTGGCCCGAATGCATTGTTTAAGAGGGAAAAACATCCGGATATATTTGCACCACAAGTGCTTTTGACAGCCGGCCGAAGTAAAAGGTCATGTTTTTCTCAGATTTACCATTTGGAGACTGTGAACTAATTGCAGGCAAATCTGATTTCCAACAAACAAACAATCTACAAACTGGAAAGAGCGCCCGGGGTCGAAGATCTGTGAGGTGAAAAGGACTCGTGTCTCGAACTGTCATATATTTCAACATGTCCTGGGATAAATGCATCCGGCAATCTTCCTGTTTTAAACATCTTAGTCAGCAGGCACCTTGCCGGATGCATCTTTCCCAGAACAGTAAACGCGCCGGTTTATTTATGTATAGGATCATGAAACCCCATGCGTTGCGAACATGCGTAGTGCAACTCACCGTTGCGCGTTGCGTGTTCCGGGGCGCATATAAGAGGACTCCAGACCATGGACTTCGCACGCATCCCCAAAACAACCGCTCCAATCGTCCCAAATATGCCGCTTCCGGTGGTTTCTTTGCCCCCCGAACCGCCGTGAAGCGGCGCCATAGTGGGGCGTGAAACATTTCTCACGCGGCGAAGTGCAGGTGGCGACCGAGGGGCAGCTTCCGCACTTGGTGGAGTTGACGATGGCGCGAGACCGTTTTTGTTGTTTGGGGTCGAGGGCCGTGGGCGGAGGTGACTCCGGAGGTGGCGCCGGGTGACTCCAGAGAGGAAGGGTTGGTGTAGTTCAAGGTTTCTTGGCGGAACTAATGGAAAGATGCACTTGGGCCTGGAAAAGTTCACAAACAGGGGACTCCAAAAAGGTAACTTTGAAGAAACTGGTACTTTGAATCCGTTTGTATTGCTAGTTATCCCACTTGTATCCCACAAGCATCCATAGTTGGTTTAAAACCCCTGACTTGTGTTGCGTTTGATGGTCATGAACGATTCTGCAGCACCTGTGGACAGCAGCGAGGATATGTATCAATGGTCCTTCGGAGGTGTTCTACAAACCCATCGAGGATTGACACTGAACCTTCCCCCGCAAGAGTTGGGCATGCACCGTCCATTGATGACCATCGGAGATGCTCCTCCAAAACAAGAATTACATTGGAGTGAACACTGGTAAACACCCATCCCATCCCATCCCATCCCATCCCCATTACAATGAGGGTGTTTACTTTCCTTGGGGTGGTGCTTAATTTCACAATATGTATATTTATATATTGTGCAAACTACAGCGGTCCGCCAGGTCATGTTTATGTGGATATATATATATATATGGAAATGCATTGACATGCAGACCTCCTCCCATATCGATTGACATTATTTTTCTTTTCACCTGCATACCTGGTATAGTAGGGCTCCTTGCCCACATCCGAAGTCGCTTCGGCGCTTGGGGTGGGTTTGTACCTACCTTCGACTTCGGATGTGGGCCAGGAGTCCCCCAGTGGACCCCGGTGACCACCAACAAAAGAACCATGATTTCATTTGAGTCTATGGCTTCAGTCTTTGGAACGCCACTGGGACGACACCAACGACACCAACGACAACTGCCTGGCTCCCCTGGGCCAGATTTCTTTCAAATCCCTTTGATCACTCGCCAAAACTCCTCACCGCCGCGATCACCGTGTTTCTTCGCGCCCGACGGAGGTCCTTCGCAGGGTTTGCCGCTTCGACTTTCCCATGAATTGGGCCACGTGTCTATCAACATGGTCGAGGAGCATTTCTGGAGCTGTTTCTTTGTGCCAGCAGTTCCATGTTGGGGTGCCCCTGTCACATCTACGGCCCCTGGATGAGGCTAAAAGCCATGCGCACAACTCCATGAGTCCTGGTGTGTGTGTGTGGTGATTTTTATTCATGAGTCATGATTCATGGCGAGTCCTGGCGAGTCAGGAGTCCAAACTCAAAGTGAAGTTGGATGGCAGAAATGCCTGGATGTCTAGACAGACCCCCACACCCCCACCCAAAAGACCGAAGGCAAAAAATAAAGGTGACCACAATGTAGTCGCACTAAACGCCACGACAGTTCTCATGACTTTAATATAGAATTTACAGGTCCTGAAGGGAGCATGTCTAGTTTTACGAAGTTGGGGAGAGACTTGTGCAAGTGCTGAGAGTTGTAAGAGGACACTTTCCAGCGCATAATCATTGTCCTCCAGAAAAGAAGAGTCTTGTATCTTTAGACAAAAAACATCTACGCACTACAGCAGCATATATAGCCTTCTTGTGGAAAAGGCGAAAGGTGGGTGTGGCCGCAAATAAGAGGACCACGATCAACTCCAGAGGCTTCCTGCAATGGGAAGGGTAGTTAGTAGTGAAGTTTATTGGTCAGCAGTCCGCTCATTTTGGTGCATTTTCTCCTGCAGATACCAGGCGTACCGCCCTGCTTGTACGGTTGTTGAGGTACACAAAAATGAAGAAGCTTCCTTGGTGTTCAATGTAGTGCGTAGACTGGCATAAACGTTTTTCGGGACACTTGGACGAGCATCTCTTTGTCTGAAAGAAACACGTGACATCACGTGACCATGCATAGACTAGATATCTATTGGCTCCCTCAAGACTGAATTTCTTCCCTGCTCCTAGGATGGCTTGGCACATTTCCTACTGGCTGAGCTCAAGGTCCGGCACGTGGACGCGGTCAAGACATGGCAAGAGCAAACCTGAAGGGATCAGAACCTAGTCTCATGGAGAGGGCGATGGAGAGTGGACTGCCAGAGCTAGCACAGTTTATTCCAGGTAGTAGTGTGGACTAGGACGCCACAGACCCCCTCAAAAATGTGTGTATATATAAACCTGGCAATCTGACTGAGATCGTTATGGTGGTCGTACATTTCGTGGTGAGTATAAGAGCTTCGATGCTGGGCTTCCATGCTCGTGTCCAACATGCCAAGTTGTGGTCCGGTATGCAGAAAGAGGCGGTGGCCATGGAGGATTCTGTGCTGTTTCAGGGCGATTTGTTTGGTCTCAGCTGGTGGGCAACATCACAGTTTTCGGCACTTATGGTGCTTGTTCCGGGCAGAGACGGAGCCAAAGTTACAGAGACAGAGCGAAACGCCCAAAGATGGTGACAGATGGAAGATTCGATGCTATAGATGATGCCAGTCAGTATGAACAACTGGGTTGAGCACAAAAGAAAACACGATGTGCAGCAACGTACACCTGAAGTTGAGCAAAAGGCAGTGAAAGGTGCATTCATATTGTTTTTACGATGCAAACCCCTGAAGCACTGGCTGAAAGGCCATGACTCTTGCAAACAAATGGACTGTGCCGACAGCCGAGAAATCACCAGAGAAGCGATTCAACTGCACCAAGCTGTGAATTTGTGAGCTCAGTTCACGTCCACGTGTGCAAAGCTTGAAATCACAAAGACAGGAGATGGCTTTGCATTGTTGGTCCGGCTGGGAGGCCACAGGAGCTCACTAAACAGACGCATGGACATTCAGCCAGACAGATGCTTTTGGAGCGCCTCGCCCTGTTCAGGCAAATCCAAAAAGGCTCAGCGCTGATTTGAATATCCAGTTTAGAAAGATTGTGCAAAGCCAGGGCTCATTTTAACAAAGGTCTTCTCTAGGACTCTAGGAACAATAATTGATGGTTAATAGATGTTAACATAGTAAATAGCGGCTTAATTCCGAAATCGTTTTAACTAGGGTTTCTCTTGAGCATTTGGTGCGTCAGTGTTGGAACACGGAGGAACTCCTCCATATTTCATGGTTTTGGGATGTTTGGGATATAAAGATAGATGGGCGGCCCTGATAACAAGTGCTTCGAACATGTTTTCAAGTCTCTTGTTTTGGCATGTGTTTTCAATATCATAATCATCCGGACCATGGGCGCCATCCCTTCGGTCTCGCATTTGGGCACCATGAAGTACTACGCAGGCGCAACGTGAGCGAGGCTTCAGCGAATCCGTGGCGAAACTCAGCGGCGGCGTGCGGCGGAGCTTCGTAGGTCGAGGAGTTCTCGGCGACGGTTTGGCGGGTTGGGACGTTCGCGGTGGCCCGGCCACCTGGGATCTAAATATATTCCCAATCATCATGGGAAGTGGAACATGGTCCCTTTGGGTTGATCTACAAAGAGGTGGTTTTCCACCTCCAGGATGATTCCAAGTGTGGAGAGTGGCCATGCGTGATGGATTCATGCTTTTTGCATTAAGGAACTTAAGGAACTATGTGAACATAGGGTTTCAAGCAGCCAGGATGTTCCACAATCTGTTCAAGGTCATGTTGTCTTGATGCTTCGGAGTTTCTCAAGGATGTGCACGTGCATGAACTTGCACAAGGATTTCCACGTCTTTGGATGTTTTCTCCATTCCTTTTGTGGCTTGTTGTATCCCTGGGCAGAGATGTGGTGCCGGGAATGCATCGCATAGCCCTTACCTATCGCAGCATCGTCGTGCCGGTGAGCAGTTTTCGCAACACAGCCGGTCTTCTCCACACAGCCGGTTGTTTGGGGGTTCGGAAAACCTCCGTCGCTACACGGTCGACCAGACCAGAGGTGTTCACCCAAGTGGTGGGCGAAAGCATAGGGAACAGGGAGCTGTTGCTACGGCACCCTGTTCACTCAAAGACTAAGACAGTGAAGTGTTTTGCTATCTTGGGCTGTCCTTTTTGTCGCTGTTTTGCTGGACTGCTTGACACCATCATCGGTTTTTCATGCATTTGCCCAAAAAGGTTGTTGCTGGGACGCATGTTGGGATGGTTTGGGGGGGTGTCTCTGTTTGATCTGTTCACTTCAGGCTTGATCTGGCCAGTGATGGGCGTGAGTGGCCAGTGATTCAGCGTTCTTGTGAATTTTGGATCAACTTGTAGCACGTCAACATCCTGAACCCGCAGACAATCATATGGGGTTCCTAAGAGGATTGGTGTGGTATATATATATATGTGATTCTCTATTCATGCTCCACATGCATGTGCTGGTGCGCACTGCCAACTCCCCATCCAGCACGGCCAAACCAAAGCACCTGGTCGCTTCTAAGGCCTTGGCGGTGGTCTTGGTCTTGCACCAAGTCCTCAAAGAGCAAAGCACCAAGAGGCGCCGGACCGTCGGACCGTCGGACCTCGCCGGTCGGACCTCGCCATCTCTCCGAACCGAACGGTTCACCACGACGAGTTGACCGAACGACGAGCTGAGCGTCGGTGCCGGTGAACCATGTCGTGGGATCCGTAGGGCGGAGGGTTCGGTCGATGGGTTGCGTGAAGGGTTCACTGGGGAGGACTGGGGGACTGGGTGGGTCAAGTAGGACGAACAAGGTCTCCGCTCAATCGGGTCCAAGGTCTCAGAGTCTTTCTTGGCGAGGTGGAACTCAGCTGGGTGGGACGAGGGCATGTGATTGACGAAGTAAACCGAGAAGTGTGTGTGTGTGATATCATATATCATATCATGTTTCGAGCTTTTACTGCTGCACTCAGACTTCAGCCTTCATTATCTCTTTTTCTCACAGTCTTCAGTCAAAATTCATCAAAATTCTATCAACTTCTCAGTCCAAATGTCTCTTGTTCCTGCCTATTTGGCTCGCTGGTCCGAAGTTGGCTTCGGGTTCCTGCCAGCGCCCGACCCAGAAAGTAGAGCTGGTGGTAGCTGATTCCCTTTGTTACTAGTAGCCTCCTTGCTACTAGTCGTAATGCCCTTAGTTACCATAGTAGCGATGCCCTTGTTACTAGCTGCCCAGTCGCATTTGGTATATAGATCACTGGCAAAACCTCAATTGCTGAGGTTAGGGGATTTCCCCGCTCACTTCCCTGGGATATGTTTGGATCCTTGGCGACCCGCGCGCGCCCGCCCGCTTCACCAGGCTTCTGGCCGCGCGCCGCGAGTTCCATCAACTGGGACCCTTGCTGGTGGAGCCGCTGGGTGGTGCCGGGAGCCCCTTGGGTGGTGCCTGGCGCATCCGGAGGGGATGGCTGGGGTCTTCTTTTAGAGTCTCTCACTCTCTCTCATGTGAATGAGTATTTATATGTAGTTATATATTCCTATATATAGGGATCCACATACCTTCCCGGAAGGCACAACTGGGCCTTCCCATGCATACATATATAATAAAATTGTTTCAATCACCTTCTCAGAAGGTGGCAGTGGATCCATAGGGTATGACCATGGTTCAGCAGATTTTGGACTACCCTCAGCTCTGAGAGGTCTGCAGGTCTTTGGCAATGCTTACTCTTAATTCCAAGGTGTTTTTCAATCAACCATGTCTTCTTTGCCATTCATGGTAAGACGAGTATGAGTAGTATCCATGGTTAGCTGCAGCTTGGGATATATGCAATGATATGCAATGATATACTCCCGTTCCCAGTCGGGGTTTTCCAACATCTCCGCATGGAACAAACGTGGAACCGAAAAGGTCCTGGGATCTATGAGCCAGTCTTGGGAGCCATGGGCCAGTCCATCACTGCAGGGTTCGTGTTTACCTGGGAACTGCACAGCTACGTGTTTTGTTGTTGAAAAGGGCATGCTGAGCGCAAAACGAGACGTTGATGGTTCCAGGATGGACATTTTTAATGATCTTTTTTACAGTGCTCAGCTTTCTTCAGGATGAGTCTTGAAGTCTACGGTTGGGACAGTTCTTCATTTGGCTTTGGGGTTACCTCACTTGGGCAAAGCTTGGCTCCATCTCATGGGCCCGAAGATTCGAGTGCCTGAATGGCTAAGACGACCTGTCGTTTTGCTCCGGGAGTTCAAAACTCAGGTGCCTTGGGAAGGGCCGTGAACCTTACCCTTCCAAACCCCAAACATCATAAAACCTCAACACCCCACCCCCAAATTAGGCCTTCTTCCACCTGCTGAACACCGTGTCATCTTGGGTCGAGTCTTCAGACCGTCTCTTCGTCAGGTCTGGGCGCTCAAGATGGAACACCTGCGACAGCTGAAGACTCAAGGGCTCGGAACACCCAGACCAAACCGCGGCGCCTGCCTAGAGCCCAGCCTTTTCGAGCCTAGCTGATCGGACAGGGCCGTATTGTTGGGATGGTTGGTGCTCCGAAAATGGAGGTTGCTCAGGCTCCAAGTCTACGAACACGCCGAACCTCACCTCGCGAACCTCGTCTCGCGCCGAACCTCGCGCACCGGGTGCACATCGACGCTGGCGTCGTCCTCGCGGGGTTCGGTCCATGCGACCCGGGACTGGACGCCCTTCGATGACACATGGGACTTTGACATACTTTGACACATGGATGTTTGGTGTCCATGTTTGGGGTCTTGTGGACATGGAGGCTGGGGTGATCTTTCTGAACAACAAAACAAGATTGCGTAAAGGACCTGAGACTCCCCCAGGATGTGAATGCCGGAATTGTGCAGCCCGCACCGGGGCTGCTGTTGCTGGTGTCGCCCTTCAAAATAGGAAAACAACACAAAAGAATCACATAGCAAACAAATTGAACGAAGGCGCCATAATCGAACAAGAAAAGGAACAAGACAACATGGACGAAACAGCATGAAACAGCCTTTTCAAGGAAAGACAAGGAAACCTAAGAAACAAAGAGCTCAGGAGCGTCCTGGCAGCCTTCGGTGGCCGGTGGGGACGGGAGAAACCCGCGCTCTGGGCTGGGGGTCTAGGGGTCTAGGCCACAAGGACCGCCCCATTTGGGGATTCCATTCGGGGTTTGGACCCGGTCTGACCCGAAAAGCAGCTCGCCTTTTCAAAAATCGGCAAAACGAGCAAAACTCTGAAAATGTTTGAACATAGAAATTAGGAATATAGGAATACATAGGAATACAATAATGCATTCCTTTACTTCGAGTGATCCCACCATGACATGTCAATCAGTTGTTTTCATGCTATGGTGAAGAGCATGTTGGCTTTGCGGTTTTCGATTTTGCTTGTGGGTGCTCGGGTTTTACATTGTTCTTTTAGCGTTAGGGAGTTCGCGTCGGGGTGTCGCCAGGGTCTCCAGTTGGCATCCAAAAGTACTGATAGTACTACCCTGTGACCACCCGCCACGCAAAATGCCACACACAGGTATATATATAACTATATGGTTGTGGTTGTGTTGTGGTTGTATGTTTGTGGTTGTGTGTTTGTGGCTGTATGTTTGTGGTTGTGTGTTGTGGTTGTGTGGTTGTGTGCTGTGGTTGTGTGTTTGTGATTGTGTTTGTGGTTGTGTGTTGTTGGCTCTGTTTGTGGTGTTGTGTTTGTTTGTGATTGTGTGTTTGGGGCTGTGTGATTGTGATTGTGTGTTTGTGTGCTGTGGTTGTGTGTTTGTGATTGTGTGTGTTTGTGGTTGTGTGATTGTGATTGTGGTTTTGTGTGTTGCTGGTTGTGCTTGTGGTTGTGTGTTAAAGTTAGTGGTGGTGTCTTGAGCTGCCAGACTGCCCACTACGATCGGTTGAGGTCCGGTATACTGCCCACTGGCGCTTGCTGTTGAGGTCCGGTACTCCGCACTCCGTCCATGTAATACCTCTTCAGCAGACGAATGAATCTTGACTTTCTCAGGCATACTGAAGGGGGCTAGACGGAGAGACTAAAATAGGCTCTCAGTTGAGCTTGCAGGGAGAGAGTAAAGTGACGGAAGCGTGCGCAAGAAGGGTGACGATCAATTGCTTTCATGGCAGTGACGTCCCCATGGCCCGGAGCGTACCAAAACCTGCTTCCTAATGCCATTGACGGCAGCCAGCGCGGAGAAGCTTGACATGAAGGTGGTGCAGGGGATGTGTTTGGCTGAGTCCGCAGCTCGTGCCAGTACCGCTGGAGATTGCGTCATGAGCGTGCAATGTGCGGTTAGGGCTGATGTCGATTGTGTTGGGAAAGCCCGTTGATTCCAGTTGACTGCAGGAGGTGCCAATGCAAGGTCTGTGAGTTGAGCCGAAGTCCTCAGGTCAGTGCCGTATAGGTAAATGCCGGAGAGTGCAGAGACACGGATAAAGTAGGCAGAGCGTATTTCTGGGTAGCAGGTTTTTTAAAATCTCTGAAGACTCTGAAGGAGATGTTTTCGTGCGAGCCAGAACATCCAGGAAAATGCATTGTTGTGAGGGGGGTAATTCTGCCACAGGGAGATGGAACATGTTTGTATGGAGTATTTCTTCACCCCATTCCGTAAGAAGCACCCTTCATGCAGGTGCAGACCAGCAAACATGCTTCAAAGCCGCTTGGGCCGAGCTTTGCGGGAATAGAGATTGCTTTGCTTGAGTTTTTTTTATGGCAGCGCCGGAAGGAAGGAGGAGGATGAGGAGGAGGAGAAGAAGGAACAAACTATCCGGACATGTTTTAAACCCCTTACCTGACAGGTGGGGAAACCTGGGTATTTGAAGTCAAATAAACATAACATATTGAAACAGAGAACAAATAGCAAACAACATAGGCCCCCATGCACTCCGACCCCTCTGCCCCTCGACCTCCCTCGCCCCCACCCTCCCTTGAACACTGTGTAGTTCGCCTTACCTCTTCAGATGGTTTGATTCTGTGCCCTGTGATCCTTATTGCGGCATCCTGGCTTCTAGTTTGTGTTCCTGCCTGGCGTGGCCTCCCCTTCTCCACGTCGCACGGCTGCGCGTTGCACGTTTGCGCTCCGCGCGCGCGCGCGGCACGCGTGGCCTCGGCGCCCGAAGGTCCATCGTGGAGGACCGGGTTTGGCGGCTCTCCCGGCATTTGGACGGCTCCTTCTTGCTGCTCTTGGCCCCTCGGTTCTGCAGCGGTTTCCAGGAGCCGATCCGTGCGTGGGGCGTGCGGACCCATGGGGGTGTACTCCCACATGTTTAGCCACAACTATCAGTCAATCCCTTTTTGCTAGCGTCGATTTGCTTGGTGAGAGTGGGTTCACCCAACCAACCTGCGTAACGAGAGTCCTGCCGAGTGTTGGGATCCACGTCGCCGATCAGATTGATTCTGGCGATTTTTTAGGGGGTGAGGTTTGGGGTAACCTGTACATGTACATGTTCGACCAAACATGTGTATATTTACAGACAATTTACGGTACAGACCATTTTTTTTCTGACTTGAAGGCAGTCTCCTGGTCCGCCCAAGTGCGGCACTGCATGCATGGGCATGTGGCACACCATTCAACCATCCGCTGCGTGGAGAGCGCTCCCAGGGAGCGCTCTCCACGCTGCAACGTGTCCAAAAGGGCGAAAACGCCGTGCCATGTGGTCCACGTGTTGTTTTGCGACTTCGGTGGATGCGTTGTTCTGCGTTTGGGCAGTTTTTCTCGGTAAGCACCAGGAATCAGCACTTAGCCACTTAGGTTTAGGATGGTGTAGGTGCTTGATGTGTTCGGCTCTAATTTTAACTGATCTAAGGAGTACTGTACCGTTACCTCTTTGTTTTTGGCTTTCATTCTTGGGTGGGTGAGTTTGCGGAGAATATGTATACCATCCCAGCGGGCCACCCACATTTCCTTACCCAGGCAGTGGACAGCCTGTTTTGGGAATTGGTGGAAAAGGTCAACTCATATTTTCCATGGAAACTGAGTCGGTTTCTCTACCCCCACATAAGTCATTCAGTTGTGATTACAATGCTCAGCACGCTGACAATGAGGAAGGCCCGAGGAAGGCAAGCTCCGAAGAGGAAGGCTGCCAGAGATCTCGAGGAAGCATGGCCCCAAGAGAAGGTCACATGACCCTTCAGTCCCCAAGAGACACTGGACTTTTCAACTATATGCAGAGTTTCTTGCCTCTAGAAATTGAGCCAAACCGACCCGATTTGAGCCAAACACGTGGCATAGTTGGAAGATGTTGGAAGACATAAAATCCACCACCCACCCACACCACAGATCCAATTTAATTCATCACCCACGCAACACACCCAATTCATCCAGGCTTCGGATGGTTTCCATCCAATCCACCCATGGCCCCATGGCTCTCGCGGTTCTCAGGTCCATGGTTTTGCGCATCTCCACGAGCAGCCCACCGGTCGGGGCTCCTGGTTGGTCAGGGCGGGCACACCTGGTGGCAGGTGCCACACCCAAACGACAGGTGCATGGCACACCCGGCATTAAACAAAAATACGACGTTCTGTGAGAAATGCCTAGATCGACCCCTTTTGAACCAACCAACCCAATCTTGGTATCATGAATGCTCCCAATCTGGTCATCTTTGGGATAGATGTTTCGCCTCCACACCAGGACCCGCAGGACCCGGGTCCATGTCACGGCCGTGAGAATTTCTCACGGCCGAACATCGGCAGCACCGGCTATCCCGGTTGTGCAACCGGGATGACTCCGAGCTTCCTATAGCTCTGGCAGCTTAGGACCTAGGAATACCTAGGACCTAGGATTCATCAAAACACACAAAAGTGACAGAAGCAAGAAGCAAACACACAAATCGCTCCAGTGTCTTCAGCCTTTGCTTGAATTTCAGCCCTGAATTCGAAGTGACCGACGTCCACTGATATACATTTGCAGGAAGACTTACCCTGAGAAGACTCACCCTGTCCAGTGTGCTCGGGAAGACACGTAGCCCATGTTAGAGATATAATGTAGACATGTAGACTCTTGATATCTCTTGATTAACAAACTTCCCCATATATAAAGAGCCTTTACAATCCAAATGATACGGTTTTATTAAATCAAGAGGACATTACTGTAAATCACAAGCTTGCCTGTTTCGAGGGGGACACTTGCTGCAGAGGCTTTGTTCAGGCATTCGAGAGGGATTCCAGCGGCCAAACATGGTCAAACCATTCAACAAGGAGAATTCCCCCTGAACAGCTTCCACCTTTGCCTCAACTTCCCACATGTAGTGTACTGTATTATGTGCCTTCGTTTGGTGGTCAGAACAGAGGAAACCACTTGCCAAACCCTAGACATCAGCCTGTGCATCCCATGGTCTCAATACTGGTATGTCTCACCCCGTCTTGTGGGGAAGACAAAGAGACACGGTCTCATGGATGGCGGTTCGATGTTCATTTTGGGTGGTGGGCTTGGGCAACATGATCAGCCACGGTCAGGGTAGTTAACCTCTACAGGGCCATGATATAGTAGATCTGCCGCTGTTCGAATCACTCGGAATCCCTGGAACTGCACGCGTCGCCATGCGTTGCCCAGCACGGCCGGCACCCACGGTGGATGCCGTCACCAGGTCCACAGATGATTCAGATGGCCAGGAACCGAGTCTCGCATCGCGGTCCTGCGAGACGGCCAAAAAACGGCCTCCGTGGGCGAGAAGACCTTTTGTTCGGAGATGGCGCGGAGACAACGGAGACACGGAGACGAAGCCGGGCGCCTCTTTGTTTCGAGACAGAAGCACCACACGTGGAAAAGGGCCATCCAGTGGCCTACCAAGTGGCCTCAGGTCCCTTTTGTGACAATTTGCCAGGATGTGTCTTCCAATTATAGGTCTGTGATGGTTTGTGTAAATAGAGGGTGGATCATAGCAGTTTGGGAGGACAGCAGTTTGTTTGTTTGTTCCCGTTCTGGCCTCAAATTCTGGGTTTGTGACGTAGGCCTAGTCGACTACAGCTCAAACTATTGATATTATAATGATATTCAGGGTCATGTTTGCAGGTCATTTTGATCCAAAAGCGTTCCGCCGGAACCGTGGTTTTCTCGCAGGTTCCGGAGCTGCCGGAGCTGCTGAAACAAACACAGTTTCCTTTTCAACCGGAGCGCAGGTTGACCTTCTAAAGCATGTACAGTCTCTGAGATTTTCCGAAGTGACACAGCTGGAAAACACCACAAGTGATTTTCGTCACTGAAAGGGCGAGCCTGTCACTTCAGGTCCCTAAAGAAGACCTCTAAAGTCCATCCGAAGGAAGCTGACCCGAAAAGATTCACAAGTCAACAGCCTAAAGATAGAAGTCTGAAGTCAGACAAACTCCTGCCCTGCTGTATGAGCTTGAAGTTTGCCAAATGGACAACCTGCTGGCTGTCAGCAGATCTTCATCCATTCCCATTTCAGCCAAAGCCCGGTCCGAGAAAAATAGCGCATCTTCAGCTGAGCTTCTTAGGTGAAGGAGGAGGTGGAGTCACTGCTAGTGCCTGGGCGAAGGAGGGAGAGAGAGCACATATGTTGGGAGCAGGCTGTTGTTGACCCGGCAGGGCAGTGTACAGTTGTGATGATTGGAGAGGTTTGGTTGGGCAGGGCTGCGGATTCATTCTTTCATTGGCTTCTTATCTACAAACTACATTTGGGCGTGAATGCTTGAGTTGAACAGGCCGTTCAGACTCTTTTCAATGACAATCAGCGACATTTTGTTGTGCGAGTCATCAGTCAGCAAACGGATGCCCAGAAACAATGGCGTTTCGCGCGGGTCCAAGCCTCCTTCAATCCATTCCCAATGGGTGTTACGAGTAACACATAATATTTACAGTATAGTATAGCTACCCTGCCTGCACCCAGATGAACGCACATTAACATTTGAGGCATGTTGGCATTTCTAGCGCAAATTATAATTAGACACATGTTTGCTTGAGCTGTGGGACATCATGGTGATGCTGATTTGCGCAGTCTTCACTTTGTACACTGCATGGTTGTTCCCAGCAGAAATTGACCATACCTCCACAAGGCAAGGGGTGCAGACACAAGAAATGGACAACCACCTGGGGCCATTTTCCAAGCGACCATTTTCCACTCCGCCCCGCCCATGATTATTACAGGGAGTGTACTGAAAATCTCAGGGGGTGTACTCACGGCCAACGCAGTCCCGAGTTTTGACATGTAGCAAGATAGACTCCCAGTTTGATACAACCAAACTGGACTTTCACGTGTTCCATCTGAGCAACTCCAACCAACCCAGGCAGTGATGTCGATGTTTCTTAGGCCAAACACCCAGAAGTTTTGTGGCTCACATAGTCGAAGGACCGTTTCACCCCGTTGCTCGAGCACGCAAATCAGGTCTTTGCAAAGGCCTCTCCCACATGATTTTGGAGTGAGATTGATTTGGGGATGCAACTGAAATCTGGTAGCCGCGATGGCAAACAAGTAGGACCAGGGATACAGGGTGCTTCAAATGTTTTGGTTGACGTTTTGAGCACCCAGACATGCCTGGTTTTGCTATAAGAATATTCTATATATTTGTCTATTTTCCCGATTTTCCCCATGAATCTCTTTCGGGGAAGATTATCTTTTCCCGGCTTCCTGGACAGCAAATCTACGCATGTGTTTGCCGAACTGCTTGGCAAACAAGGCCTTCAAGGGTTTTCCCTTCCCCCTGCAAGAGAACGCGCCCCCGCGGGGCCATGAGGAATGGCACATCGCCAGAGCCCCTGGAAGATCCTCCTTGCAGGAACTCTATGATTTGCAAATGGCGAATCCCCTTCCACCATCAAGTGTGACTTGTCACCCCCTTGGAGCAAGTGATGTTCTACTTCCCAGAGAATCTTGATTAGATTATAGACCTATAGTAGACCCTACTTCCATCTACTTCCAAAATCAAACTTCTACCGTACTTGGGAGCAAATAGCCTGCCTTGCTGCCTGAGGCCTTGTTGCAGTCTCACTCCCAACAACTCATCCAATGTCACGGCCTTGGTGCCGAGATTTGGTGCGGCCGACTGGTGCGAATGACATGGCAAGATAGACACGGGAGATAGACAAATGTCATGGCTTGGTCCGACTGAGCTTCACAATTTTATTTCAGAACATCACCCCAAAGAAGCAGGTTCGTTTGATGCTTCTAGAGGTTCCAGTTTCCATGGTTTAGGCGTTGAACTGGCTATTATAACACCTATCCAACACATCTGTACGAGTTTCACGAAGAATCACGGCCAAGGCGGCAAAAGGATCAAGTTGATATAGACACCTAATGTCTCCACTGCCACCGAACGTGAGAAGATGAGCAGGGAGACTATTTATGCAGGCGCCAGCCAGGAGGGTCCAAGTATTTCTACTTTCTAAGAAGGGATTAGCTTCTGTGTGACGTGTGGCTAAATCGCTTCTGATTTTTCTCGGTGCACTTGTATATCTTTGAATTCAACGGTTTGCTGGTCAGTGATAGCATGTCTCACATCTCACACATGCATGTTTTGTTTTTGGAGGTGCAGATACTGTGTATTTTTCAAAACGCAGTTCCTAGCCGTACCATGCCGCATCTAAATCCAGCTTTTTGACAGATGATGCACTCTACATCAACCACTCATTGCAAACACAACAACCCCAGGAGGTGACCAACAACTTGTCGAATTGTAGTAAGCACGGAGTTGACAGAGTGAGGTGCAGCTTAGGCTAGGACCTTTTTGGGTTGCGGTTGGCACTTCTTTGAAATGTTAATTTTCTTTGATGTTGCAGCAGCTTGGGTTTAAGACGGAGCAGTTACACCAAAGTTGTGGGACACAGAAACGACATGACGGGAGACCGTTTCAGTGCCACTTGTATGTCCCAGGCAAGCTCTGTTGGCCCAAATACTTTTCGGGACTGACACCAGTGGTGCTGGATGTGCTTACCCGGACCACCGGTGGAGCTTGATAGACCACCGTTTGTGTCACTTCCACGTCCCAGTCACTTCGGACCCCTCATGTAAAAGCAAGCTAACCCTGTTCGGTTCAGGTGGCCGGGCGAATGTGAACGGTTTTTGGAGAAAGAACATGGGTGGAACATGGTGGAACTCGCTGTATGTTGGACTTGTAAGAGTGGACTGGTTCGGATGTTCAATTAACTTTTTTTCGACGAAAGCCGGTTGGGTTCGAACATAGTGACGGGAAGTGACTTCCGTCATGTCTGACTTCTGTGAACATTTCAGTGGAGTATCTAGTGAAATGAGACATGTTTGTTCACTGATACAATTTCAGAACTAATCAATGGAGGAACAAGTTCAGCGTGACTCAGCAGGTGGGCTAAGACCCACAGTTGGAGCAAAGGCATTTCCTAGAACATCTTCGGCAGGACAAAGCAGGAAAAGAAAGCAAACGAGAACTGACCATGTGGTTGTCCTGGATGTTAATGGACACCCCTTAACCTAAGGGGCTATGAATGCTTAGCACCGCCCTGCTGTCCGGGTTGTCCCGCCATGGCGACGACTCTCGTCGTTGGAGCCGTCCTGAGCCTGGGCCCAACAAGCCAACGGAGTCGTGTTGATTTAGGGAAAACGTTGGAAAACAATGGAAACAATATGGACAACACACATATGGGGAGTTGAATGGATTTGTTGTTGTTGTTGTTGTTGTTGTTGTTGTTGTTTTTGTTTTTGTTGTTGTTGCTTAGTTAATGACCCCATGTCAACATTTCCCTCAAGATCGATATGCAACAGGCGAGGTGTTACAAAGAAAACGTTAACATCTTCCAAACGGACACGTTGGGCGGATTGGAAGCAGGACAGCCTTATGTAGACCGAAGTAGAATTACACCTATACTCTCTAGTGACATCGAGACGGCCCCTAGTAGCGTCCTTGCTCCTAGTAATGTGAACAACTCATTAGTAACCCTCCTATGAAAAATAACTACATTTGTTCGACGTAGTCAAAACTCTGAACCGCAAATAAAAAAGGGAAACTCCAGGCCATTTGGCAGAGGGGATAGTAGTAGTCGTCGTCGTCGTCGTCGTCGTAGTAGTAGTAGTAGTTGTAGTGGTAGTGGTAGTGGTCGTAGTGGTAGTGGTCGTAGTGGTAGTGGTCGTAGTGGTAGTAGTCGTAGTGGCAGTAGTCGTAGTGGTAGTAGTCGTAGTGGTAGTAGTCGTAGTGGTAGTAGTGGTAGTAGTGGTCGTGGTGGTGGTGGTAGTAGTAGTAGTAGTAGTAGTATAGTAGTAGACCAGGAGCCCCTAGTAGTGTCCTTCCTTCTAGTAGTAAGGCCAGCAGCCCCTACTAGCATCCATGCTCCTGGTAGTATGGCCAGGAGCCCCTAGTAGCGTCCTTGCTCCTAGTAGTTTGACTAGGAGCCAGTAGTGTCCTTGCTCCTAGTAGCAAGGCCGGGAGCCCCTAGTAGCGTCCTTGCTCCTAGTAGTAAGGCCAGGAACCCCTAGCAGCGTCCTTGCTCCTAGTAGTAAGGCCAGGAGCCCCTAGTAGCGTCCTTGCTCCTAGGAGGAAGGCCCGGAGCCCTTAGTAGCGTCCTTGCTCCTAGTACTAATGCCAGGAGCCCTTAGTAGCTTCTTTGCTCCTCGTAGTGAGGCCAGGAGCCCCTAGTAGCGTCCTTGCTCTAAGCTGTTTCGAAACGTCACCCGCTCAGGACTCTGCCAAGTGCTGCTGCCGCAGGACTCGCACCGACGTCGCTTCTACAGCTCGTGCAGAGGAATGACCTGGAGACCTGTCGCGGCCTGGAGGAATGGAAGTCTTCCGAGCGCCGACCTGTCCGCAGTGGATCCATAACAACCCCCCACCTCTTCGATTGTAAAACCTCTTTCTATATGGGGGGATTGAAATATGGGCCTGGGTGTGTATTGTAATGAGGGAGACACCTGATCGCCCCGGGCTGAGCAGGCTGGTCTAGGTTCCTTCTTCCACGAAGTCGTTGCCTGGGAGGTCTCCCTACTTCAATTCACAGAAACACCCAAAAAATTCTAACACGGATCTACCCTAAATTCGCGAATCCTCCCGGGCAAATGGCACTGATGCAGATCATTCTTTCCCCAGGAAGAGCCCACCGGCTAGGCAAGGCATCGACCTAACTTGGCGTGTCAGTGGCCCCTAAAGACAGAAGATCCATCCTTTCCACATGAACGTCTCCCTCGGTTGCAGATCCGTTAGTCTCATCGCTGCGACGGACAGCTCGGGATCGCTGGGCATCGCTCGGCCTGAGCGCGGGGACTCACTCGATGCTCGGGGCGAACGCTGCTGTTCCTGGGTGAAGGCTCGACCAGATGAGGAAGTCCTGTCCTCACATTTTGATTCAGTCACATGATGAGGGTTTACAGCTCACCCGTCAACAACCACTGACAGCATCCAAACTGAAAGTTTCTTTCAACTTGAGCAGAAGCCGTGGCCCAGCCGGCTTTGCAGCAATAGTTCAGCTTCATGGAACGAGCTAAATATGTATAGGCTAGAACCTGACTCTGGAACATGGAACAAGCTAGAGTTAGGTTCTACAAACGCAACAGCGCTGCTTTTCACGAGCGTATGGAAGGAGCACAGATTTTTCAGCAACATGGAACCCATGAGACCTCAATGTATATATATATATATCTGCAAAGAGTCACGACAAGCACTCACTCATGAGCGGTAGATCATCTAAGATGACACGCACAAATCAAGAAGCTTGTACATGAGACCGCAACTTTGCCCAAGCAAGAAAAGCTTCGCATGGTAGCGGAGCCTGAGAAGCCAATCCCGTAGGGATTGGTGGAGGCTCTTGTTTTTTTTTCATTTGGCGCCATAGGCCCTTTGCCCGCAGTGGACTACATCCTAAGGTTGAAGAAGGTCCCTGAAGTTGAGATTGGTGGCCATGGCTGGAGTTGGAGAAGCTGGAGCTTCGCCTTCCTCTGCGGCAGGAGGTGGAGAAGGGCGAGAGATCGCCATGAGGATGATCCAAGCAGCTGAAGCGGCTGCTCTGGCTGCGCAATCGGCCGCGGATGCCCTCAGTCGACGGCAAGGTGGAGAGGAAACTTGGTTTAAGGTTTTGCCAAAACCCTCACAGCTGGACGCAAAGACCAGAGAGGAAGAATTATCCCAATGGAGGGACTTCAGTTGGGGCCTTGAACAATATTTGTCCTCCCTGAACGGCATGTTCACAGAAGATTTCAAAGATATCAGGGCAAGGCCAGACAACCCGATCGACTCCAGCATCCAGTCTGATGAGGAGAAGCAACGAAGCAAATTTTTGTATTCACTGCTAGCATCCCTTGTGAAGCAACGCCCTCTCGCCATGATCCGCCAGGTGAAGGAATCCAATGGCATGGAGGCCTACCGCCTCTTGATCCAAAGCCTCGAGCCCACCTCCAAGAATCGTGCACTAGGTCTGCTGACCATGATCTTGGAGTGGAAGCCCTTCGACATGAGGAAAGGAGGCATTCTTGGACAACTCCTACGCTTGGAAGAGGCCTTTGTGGAGTATGAGAAAACGGGTTCAAAGCTGGAAGACAACATCCGCTTTGCAGTCCTGATGAAGTGCATCAGCGGACAGCTCAAAATGTGGCTCCAGCTGAACGTTGCCGAGTCCCAGGACTACCAGAAGCTCCGAGAGGCCATCGTGCAGTATGACAATGCGACGATGAAATGGACGAATGTGATGATGCTCGGAGCTGATCCTGGAGGCGGAGAAGGTGTGGTGCCGATGGAGATTGACCGCATCAAAGGGAAGGGCAACGACTACAGCAAAGGCAAAGGCAAGGGCAAGGACTTCGACAGGAAGGGCAAAGGCAAAGGCGAGCCGAAAGGCAAGAGCAAGGGCAAAGGCTATGGGAAACCCCAGGACTTCGGCGGCAAATCCCAGCAGAAGAGCGTTGGCAAGGGAGAAAGCCAGAAAGGTCAAAAAGGCAAGTCAGACCAAAAGACTTGCTTCACCTGTGGCAAAGCAGGACACTTCTCGAAAGATTGCTGGCAGAGGCTTCGACAGGTAAGCGAAGAGACTCCCAATGCCAAACCGAGCGCAGAAAC